GAATGGTTTCTCCTTATGCTCTTACCTACTCTGCCTCCTGTTCTCTCCCTTGGAATGTGTGCTCTACATGACTGGTCTGCCCCAGACATCTTTGAAATTTTTTCTTTTCATTTTTGTTTCGTCTGCTGTGCTTATTTAGACTTCACTTTGAACGTACAGATTGTCCCTCTGTGCCTAGGTTTAGAAATAAACACAGGTCCAGAACACTGCAGAATAGACCAGAGTTGTTGGGAGGAGCTGTCCTCCTGGCATGCAGGAGGTGTGCTTTTGTGGGGAAGTGACCTCATCTGGATGCCTAGTACAGGGCCCAAAGGCGTGGGGTGAATGTTCCTACCATAGTGCCAATCTGTGTCCTAGTCACAACTTACCTCCTTGTCAGGCCATGAGGTCAGCAGGGCAGGAACCTCAGAGCATCTTTGCATTTACCTCACTGGGTGCAACAGTTGTGTTTTGAGTTAAGCGAATAATTGAATTCATTGAATTATTGAAAACTGAGAATTATATGGTAATCTCAAACTCGTCTTAAGAAAAATTAATATTGAATTTTGATTGTTCAAAGCCTGATCTGTGCTGCCTACAAGAAAAAAGAAAGGAAAATAAAACCTTTTCTTTTGAACCAGATTTTTGTGGTCTACATTGGCTTTGCTATCTCAATAATCAGTTTTACATCTCAAGACAAAATTCTATAGTTTTTTACCTTACTGTCAAGGCCTCTTGTGTGGCCTGCCAGTCCTTCACATCCAGTGTCATTAATAAACTAAGTAATTTTTCTTTGTGGACTAGCTTAGTTCTATTCATATCAGATCCTAATTATCTGTTGTCAAATAGAACTCATTTCCTTCAGATTCCATCACCAGTGACACTGTCCTTGGAGGGAGGGTAGTGCAGAGAAAGGAGCCTGAGGAGCCCAGTACACTGTCTTCCCCCTTCTGGTCACTCCATGTCTGGGTGGCTTCCTCATTTTCAAAAAAAAAGATGTTGGATTACATCTTAGGTAATGGTGGCTGACATTTGCCATTGGAAAGCCTTTTTTAGAAATGGAACAAAGTAATTTTTTAAATGTCTGTCTGTAAAAGAGGTTAGCTGAAATTGCACTTAGGTTATTAACAAGTCCTCAATATTTAGGCATTAGTTTTTTTCAGAAAGTTGTGTTTTTAAGCGTGGGAGTGTTTCAGGCAACCTAAGTGAAGTTTGTTTATCCCTTATTGCTAACTCCTCACTCCCCTTTTTATCTGGAGAAGACTTTTGATGCCAATGGTAGTGTTTTTGTTGATTTCAGATGGCTTATTTTTAAAGCCTCTAGTACATTTTCTGTGTCAGTCATTATGGACTGTTGCATTAGCTAATTAAAAATCCTCTTAACAAAACCATCATACGTGGGATTAAAGGAGACAGCTATTATTCTCCCAGGAAAGATTCATAATCCACATCAATTTATTGCCTGTGTTCCCAACAAAGCAAAATATGGCTGTTAGTGTTCTTAGTTATGTAGGAACCTGAGAACTCCAGAGATTTTGATAGATATGTTATTAGTAAGCAAAAATATTAATATTTAAAAATGATTAAAGCCAGCATAAGAAATGAGTTGGCATATTGCTTATACCATTACATAAAACAAAATGGCGCTAAAGCCATTTGATTTCAGAACTGATTAATGGTCATAGTGGTTTCAAATTTATTTTAAATTTGAAATTTTATATTTAAATTTATTTTAAAAACATTTAGAATTGGGTAATTTTATTTATTATTATTATTTTTTTTTATTTTTATTTTTTGGTAATACCACTGTAAGAGATTCCACTTATTACGTTTCTCCCTATTGTAGTGTCTTAGTCCTGCTCCAGCTACCTTAGGAGGAAAGAAATAATTAATTGTAAAGAGTACCAGGGTGTCTCAGAAACCTTATGAGTCATTGGAACTGAAGACTAGAGCCATTAAGAATTACCTACCTTCTACCCATCACCCCACTGCCCTCTGTTCTTCTGTGCATGCCAACTGTGTTGGGGTCCTTAGAACCATCCCCAGTTTCAGCAATTCAGTAGGAGAATCATAGCACTCATAATATAGTGGTACTCATGGCTTTGACTTACTAAGAAGGAGGTATACAAAGCAAAATCAATACAAGGAAAAGGTTCATGGGTGAAGTCCAGAGGAAGACAGGTACAGACTTCCAACAGTCCTTTCCAAGTAGAGTCACATAGGATGTACCAGATTCCCTCAGTAACGGCTTGTGGCATGTTGTTAGCCAGGGAAGCTCCTTAGAGACCCAGTGCCCAGGATTTTTCTTGAGGATTAGTTAGGCAGGCAGCCACTGCCTGGTATGGACCAAAATTGCAGACTGTCAAGGAAATCAGGTGCTCAGCATAAATCATATTGTTTGTACAGTTTAGGCACAGCAAGCCAGTCTTATCAGTTAGGGAATGGTGGGAACCCTCCCAACATCCATGTTCCCAGACACCAGCTAAGGGCCTCCCTTACAAGCAGGCCTTTTTGGGGATGGCAGTCAGACCTGCTACGTTAACTTTTTTACATAGCAGGAGATGCATCCCACCTTGGCCCATACCTTCAGGTAAGGCTCTAGAGGTGATGAAGCAGCACCCCAAAATACCCAGGAGAGAGAATCAACCCAGCTAAGAATGCGTGTTTGCCTGCATCTATGCCAGTTATGGTCAGGGTCATCTAGGACGAGCATGGATGTTGGAAATTCTTTCTGTTTAGGGACGATAAGTTGGTTTGGGGACTTGGGAGATACTCTAGGAGGAAGTCAGTCATAGGGACACATGCGTAGAATAGCCTCTCAGATACTGTGCAGGCTTGATTTTTCAAAGGCCATCTTGGGGGCAGCATTACAGAATAAATCAGGAAAGTGGTACCTGATTCAAGCCCTGTGAACCGAGATTTCAGGTCAGATTCCACAGGTTCAGTTGCTCTGAGGGAAAGACCAAGAAGAAATTAAGAGTTACAGAAAACAGATGAAACTAAATTTAAGAAAATTCCGTATCTTGATATAACAAAGAATAAAGAAGTCAAGGGGTACATTTGTATAAAAACAGTGAGTGACAAAGATATTCTGTAATAGATTCAGATACCTTGTCCTTACGTATTTTGTAGTAACAGACTTAGTGAACTTTTGTTTTTTATAATTCTAATTGGAACCACTTGGGGTTCATGGAAATGACCTGATTATTCTCTGAGATTAATCCTTGTAGGAGATGTGCAAGAATAGCATATACTTTTATAATATTTCTACTTGTCTGTGGACTTTGATTTTATTTTTGTTTTAAAGCTTTCTTGTTAAAACTTTGTCAGAATATTGATGATTCTATATTTCAACCCTCCTATTTGTGAGTAATTCTTTATCTTTTCAGTAGTCCCCATATAAGAAGCTCTGACATTTCTTGAGACACATGGATATCTTTTATCTGCTGGAGGTGGGTGACATAGAGTGTTGAGGTGACCTCAAAGGTGATTCCCCTAAATAGGAGATAGAAAGCCTTGCTCCAACGTATTGCTGGGTGCCTTAGGAAGGGCTAAGTGTCACCTACGGAATTTGCTGAAAACCTTGTCATGCCTACTACCTGTGTATAAAGTGTCCTCGGATTCCTTCAGCCAGTGGGAAATCACCATAGAAATATCATCATACCTCTATGTGGTAGAGCAAACCTGACTAGATGTACAATAATTTAGTATTGAAATAATTTAAGTAAAACAATATGCGCACACACATACTCACTGATGCACTTGCAGGTATGGCACACACAAAGTGTATAGGGCCAGGAAGTTAAAACTCAGTGCTTCCTGCCAGCCCCTCATTTTTGTTTTGGTATAGTTCACGTGTGGATACTTATTTTGAGTTATGTCAGAAGTCATCATATGCAGCCTCCACACTATGCCCACCAGACACAGTCTGCAGATGTTGTGTGTTCACTCCAGCGAGCTCCTTGGTTGCTGGTCTGGCCTTGGGAGTGGCCAGGAGCCCCGCACTCTCTGTGTGGTTGGTACACGCCAGTGACCTGCAGATGGATCCATCTGATGGTAGGGGCTCCTCAGATGATAAGCTGGATTTGTACCTAGTGTTTTACTATACTCTGAGGTAGCATTATTGATTCCCAGGGATCTGGGAAGTCATGCCTTTGAAGGAAACCTATTCTTTATATCTTCTCTAATGACCTACTCAGTAAATGTTTTGATCGATTAGTATATGCCGTCAAAAGTCTTCAGGAAAGAAAATGCAAAATTTAATGATGTTAGGTTATGTAAAGGCCCCCCTGGGTTCCTTGTCACCCTTATACATGTGTAGAACTGAGGGCTCCTACTCTGAGAAACATTACTACTATGTGGGGTACACAAGGCCATATCACCAAGTAGTGTGAGAATCCATTTCTCAAATAGAACAGTGTTTTGTGTGTTTTTTAATCAACTTTCCTGAGGGAGAGGGTGCTGCAGGAGGCTCCAGAAGGCCTCCTAGAGAGAAGCCTGGCTTTTCCTCCTAGCACCCAGCATGGAGAAGAATTGAATTCTATGCTAATAATGTTTCTGATGTACTTTGTCCTGTATCTTAATGCTGTGACGGGTATTGTTGATATTTATATTTCACCCAATAGTATGGATCTTTATGGGTCTGTTCAGGTTAGAAATTAATATTCCTGTTATTTGCTAATTATTTTAAATTAATGGATGCATACAAGTTTTCTGAAATTTACTAATTAATGATTAGTTATTGGAAAACTGTTACCTCTCAGTTAATTACAACTACACTTACTTGATTAGGGTGCCATAGTTTAAGTGGATATATATTTTGCTCTATTAATCGGGTTCAGATCTGGTTTGTTCAGATCTGCGTTGTGCAGGTCACATATTCTCATATTTGGTAAGGGAGCAACTGGGTACATTGGTTGGTGGAAGGATGGGACCACAACACAGAGGCCTAGTCCTCAGTAACTTGTAAGAGGTTGGCGTGCAGGTGTGTAACATTTGTGTTATATCTTTTGTTTTCACAGTGAGAGAAAAACGCAAGAGTCTCTTCATTAACCATGTAAGTGAAGCTGTCTTCCTGTGGACTGTACAGTAATTGTGCAGGGAGGAGAGCTTTAATAACTGTGTCTGGGATGGGTGAAAATGTTTCATGTATTTTGTCCATTCTTGGAAGAATGTGAAGAACATTGCAGTGTCCTTAAGCTCAGTTTGGTTTGAAGTTGGACAAGCATGACTTGTGTTTATCCACTGTCCCAAATGTTTTTTTCCGGAAGCCCCAGACTGGTGGTGTTCATGGGAAGATGTGTGTGGACAGTACCACAGCAAATACCACAGAAGTCTGAATGAAAGCCACTTCTTTTAAATTTCTTATTCTTTCCTTCTTCTGGCCCTCCCCCAAATTACTCTTTTTCTTTCTGTAACTCCCTCTATTTGAATAAACACAATTCTTTTCCTTGAGGCTCTCTGCCCCCATACACTTTCCTTTTCCTAATTGTTGTTTATAGGTCCAGTAGAATCTGCATGTTCTTTTAGTGCTCAAAGGAAGGATAAACTTGACAACACTTTAAAGGGATTTAAAAAATTTAGCTCTAGTTTTTTGGCTGTTCTGAGCAATATTTCCCTCCCCTGCTTGCCAGGCCTAAAGTGTCTCATTGAGGTAAATTATCCTTCTTCCTTGAGCAGCACGTGCAGCTAGCTGCCCCCATCTCCACTCCTCCTCCTATAACTCCCACCTCCCAGGCCCCTACTCACACCCCTCTGTACACAGTGCGGAGCCCTGCAAGTGTGGAGTGTCGGGTCCAGGCAAAGTATAGCCACCTCTTCATCTCCCTCTAAATATATGTCCCTTTCTTTAGGAAAGAAAACTATCTCCATGAGGTATGGAATGATGAAGTAGGATTTCTAGACTATCTGCATGTAAATGTTTGTAGTTCTCGAAGTACTTGGCACTGAAGCTGTGTGTTAGAGAGACTTAAAGCTATGTTGTCTTCCCTGCCTTTTGAAAATGTGGACAAAATGCTGTTGTAAAGAAATTTATAAGCTGGGCCTATGCAAACTAATTAAAGCACCATATAAATATGTTGACATTATTGCCATTGCCCATTAGAATATAGATAAATTCTATTTAATTTTCCAAGTTCAATATCAAAACTGATGAACTCTTTCCGGTATTCGAATATGGATATCGTTTTTTCATAATTAACAGAGTGTATTCTGTTCTACTGCTTTTGGGAATCCTGCGTTATAGGGTTTATGCTCCTCTCCTGTAGTGCCACCTCAGTGGAGTTCTGCCTTTTAGGTGTGAATGAGATAGGAGCAGACTTCTTGTAAAATGGTGTCATTTCTAGTTACACTCTTCACCTGTTAAGACAGATCAGTCAAGGAATGTAGTGAGCTTGATCCAGCAACTGAAATTTCAAAAATTCTAAACCTTTTGCCTCTTTGGGAAATTTACTTTTAACAGAATACAAATTTATTGAGCTACTGCTATGTAAGCAGTAATACACTGTGCTTGGAGGGTGTGAAAGAAGCCTCAGTAAGGGCTTAGTCTCAGTAAGATTTTAAAAATTCAATCAGATTAAAGAATCCAATTTTTATTATGAAGTAATGCAAATATACAGGGAAGTTGCAACAATAATACAGAGCATAGGATTTTTACACCTCTCTAAGGAACCTTGGCTACTCTGGTTCCCATGCTACTCATTCAATTTGACATGGGGAAGATGTTTTATTATGTTTTCTCTTAATGTTATTTCTTTTTTTCAGAATGTCTAGAAGTAATAGCGCTATACACACAAAAATCTCAATACAGTTAAGTTTGTGTGAGATGTCAATTCCTTGAGTGTCTGGTTGTGTATATAGAAGACTTATTCTTTTCTTAAACTTTCTTGTTACCCTTTCTTCGTTCTGTCTTCACTCGTGTTATGAGGCACAAATAAATTGTAATGAAATATAATCTATATGGATATAGGACAGCTGACAGGTGGATTTGCTTCCCTAGTATTTTCATAGAAGGTCATTTTGGAAAGTACATTGTCCTTGTTAAGACACGGAAGTGAAGGTCATTGAACTGATGTGATGATTTGTCCTGAAAATGCATGGCTTGTTCTTAGTGGGTGTTGCTGCGTTTGAAGCCCTGGTCTTTTATATGTGGTATGAATCTCATCTCTGAATCAGCCAGTACAGATTCTTGACCGTGCTGCCTGGTTTTCACAGTGGCGAGACATTGCTGGGGGAGCGCGAGGGAATGGTTCTGATAACCTCATCTGTGACTTTCCGATTCCTTTATTTTTCCTTGCTGAGGGTAGAGGGGCCCCAGCTGTTCCTCCTAGAAGCTAGACAGGCACTCCAGGCTCTGTGTGATGCCTCAGCCTCCTCACTATGCCATTTTATTTTTTCCTTCACTGCTCTCTGAACTCCTCAGGTTTTCAACTTGCTCAGGGACTTCTGAAGCAGAGAGAAAAGAAAAAACATGAAGTCTGAGAAAGAGCAAGTACTTTGTCATAAAAGTCCTTTAAGAAGCAGACTCTCCTTATCTTTTAAACAGAAGCTTCCCCCCCTAGCATCTGTTACAGTTTGTTCACACACACACACACACACACACACACACACACACACACTTTCGATTTGAAAAATGTCAAACTTATAGGACAGTCAATAATAATAATATAGAAAATTCCCATATATTCCAGATTCACCAGTTTTAAACCACTGTTATATCACTTTTGACTCATGCTCTGATCACATTCCTGTGATTACATTATTTTTTCTGACTTGTTTGGGAGTAGGTTGTTTGCATTCTGCCTTTTACTTCTGAACACTCCACTGTATATTTCCTAAGACAAGGTTATTCTCTGTGTAAACACAGTATCGTTATCAGAATCAAGAATTCAACATTGATACAATTCTTTTTAATATTCCATTTATGTTAAGGGGCCCCATAATGTCCTGCGTAGCATGTTTTTCTCTGGTGCCAGTTTCAGTTCAAGATCACATTTAGCATTGACTTGGCGTGCCCCTTGGTCTCCTTTAATCTGGAGATACCTTCAGCCTTCTGTATTTCATGACTTTGACAGTGTTGAAGAATACAGGGCCAGGTGTTTATTAATGGAATGTTTCCCATTTTGAATCTGTCTGAAGTATTCAGGTAAGCATTTCCGGCCAGAATACTTCACGGAGTGCACCCTTGCCCTTCGCCATTTGTCAAATCTGGAAACACACAAATCCACCTGACCTTGTTGGTGATGTTGATTTTGATCACCTGGCAAGATGCTATTCCGATTACCCACTTTTTATTGACTGGTTTTCACCTAAAACTAATGAGCAGTCTTTGAACAGACACTTTAAGACCATGCAAATATCCTGCTCCTTATTCCTGCCCCTACATTTAGCATCTGTTGGTCATTCTTGCTTGAACCAATCTTTGTATTGTATTTTCTTAGCAAATAGTAATTTTCCAGCCCCCACTCCCACCCTCACCACATTTGGCAGTTGTCATTCTGCTGTAAGGGAGAGCTTTTTTCCCCTATCCATCATCCTCCCATCCATTTAATTTTATATAGGCTTGTGGATTTCATTTTTCAATGATTTTTAGTTCATTGCTGTCCTTAATTAATTTGGTGCTCACATTGTTCTAGGTTTGGCTAGTAGCAGTCTTTGCAAACTGGCACTGTGTTCTCGTGACATCTCCCCCGCCCCACACCCCATTTTTGGGGATTGAGTACTCTCTCGCTTTTTGGCACAAGATATTCCAGGCTCAGCTCGCATGTCCCTGGATCAGTTCTAGAATCAGCCATTTCTCCAGGGAGCCGTAGTTCCTTTTAGTAGCAAACAGAATTGGAAACCCAGATCTGGACTCCAGGTGTGCTGGTTGCTCCTGGGCTGTCATTGCTTCTAGGCCCAATATTTCCAGGAAGTAGACATTTTAGAAATCATAAATTCTCACTGATACCCTAATTTCCTAGTTCAGTTCATCTCATATGATTTTTTTCTTTTTTGTTTTTGGTCTTTGAGTATTTTTTTCCTTCTGTGAAAATTTTATTTTTTAAAAACAACTTTATCGAAATATAATTTACAGACCATAAAATCCACCCCTATAAGGTATATAATTTAATGGTTTTTAGTATATTCACAGAGTTGTGTAACTATTATCACAGTCAATTTTAGAACACATTCATCTCCCCAAAAAGAAACTGAATACCCATTAGCAGTCACTTCCCATTCTCCGCCTTCCCCCAGCCCCTGGCAGCCACTACTCTACTTACTGTTTCTATGGATGTGTCTATTCCAGACATTTCATACAAGCATTATCATAGGGTATGTGGCCTTTTACGATTGGTTCCTTTCCCTTAGCGAATGTTTTCAGAGTTCACCAGTGTTGTAGTATATTTAGAACTTTATTCAAAATGTACAGGTATGCACATTTTGTTTATTCATTCATCAGTTGGTAAACATTTGGGTTGTTTCTACCTTTTGGCTATTATGAATAATGCTGCGATGAGCAATTTTGACCATGTTTTTGTGAATATATGTTTTCATTTTGGGGGAGCATATTCCTAAGAGTAAAATTGCAGGGTCCTGTGGCCACTCTATATTTAACATTTTGAGGGATTGCCAAACTGTTTTTCAAAGTAGCTGGTCTTTGGTTTTTAATATTTTATTTGCAGTCTTATGAATTTAGTTTTTTAACTGATCAAGAATAAGATACTTGTTTCTTCAAAGTACAACTTTCAACTTTTTCTTTACCTCCTTTGCTTTTTAATTTTTTTAAACTTTTCCCAGGAGAAGAAATGACCTTTTAGAACCAGTAAAGTGTTGACCAATGTAATAGCATTCACAGGGAATTTTGAAGGGACGTTGCTGAAGAACATGTGATATAACAAAAACACTTTATTAGAAGTCAAGTGGCTTGAATTATGCTGCTTATACTTCTTTGCTTTTGATGCCAACTTACTATGTTACTTGATATGTCATCTATAAAGAGGACAGGACCACTTGTCTCCACATCTCACAGGACAGTAATAGCAATGGAGATGGGATATGTGTAGGCCCTTAAACATT